TCAATAATCTTGAATATATGGTGAATGTATGCACCATACTCATAAAAATTTGTCACAGTCAAAACAAACATGCTATGCAATGGTCGAAAATGGAGATGCTAAGATGATCAAAAGAGAATGTATCGAGGGAGATGCTAAGATGATCGAAAGAGAATGGATCGAGGAGCTCTTATGATCAAAAATTGTAAAACTTGGGCTCCTATTTGTAAAATATGAACTTTTTCAGATGAACTTTCAAACACATTTCTTCGAATAAAGTAATAGTATTTATCAAAAAGGAATATTTTGAGCCATGAGCCATATAAGGTCGAATTTACGTTTAATTTTTAGTGTGTAATGAGTACACAATATCTACTTTCTCTTGTTTAATTAAAAATAAAAATAAAGTTCATAATCTATACTTTATGTTTATATATACTTTACATCAATATGTTATTGCAACTCAACTCATTTAAGAGCTCATTAAGAAAATCCTCTCTACATTATTTGGCTTTTATGATTCTCTTTCTAATTGTAAGACTAACCACTCAGTCTACCAATATTAGATAACCACTAAATTCTAAGCTATCAATGACAACCAGGGCATGGCTAGCCATCACCAACAAGCCACAACCAAACCATCACTAACAATCCATCTATGGCCGAGATCCGACAAAAGTACTTGTTTTACAGTTGGAAAAAAGAAAAAAAAATGGCGGAGATCCGAAAACATCAAGCCATCATTAACAATTAAGGCATGATCAAGATCCTACACTATTATCAACCAAAAAAGGCATATAGACAATGATCAAGGCATGGTTGAGCCATCTTTTGATAACAAAGATTTTGTTTGGAATAACTTTCTTACTGTTTTGTAAAACAGCGGTAAAAAAGTACTTTTTCAAAACTGTTGTAGAAAAAAGCTTTCTAATATAGATTGTTGAAAAGTTTTACAAAGAAAAATGTAATATCCAAACAGAAATCTTCTAACCGTATGATCGATGGATCATCCACTGGAACAAGATTCTTTTTCAGCAATAGGTTGCTCAGTTGGAGAAATCCAGAGACCCCACAATATGGCTAAATGCAGGAAAAGCAAAATGAGTGAAGAAAAAGATGTTGATGGATATACATTCCAGCAGAATTCTACACCAGCAAACAAAAGCAGCCTGCATAAACAGTTCAAATGCCTTTACTCATTATCTTCATTAAAAAAACTTAAAATTTTAAGCATTTTTGGAATCGAAAATCACCTGATGATGGTAGGGAAAGGAGTCTTCCACAAGAGAAAAGGCAAAGAAAAGAAGTACCTGATGAAAATATAAATGATCAGTAAGTACATCAGAGGTAGTATGAATAGAAGTTGCAAAAAATTGGTATAAAATAGATTTAAAACTCATTCAGTACCTAACAAGGGCGTATCCAGCTAATTTTTAAAGGGTGGACAAAATTTTAATTAATTAAACAAAAGTTAAAATATAATAATGAGACATAGTAATAATAATAATAATAATAATATCAAATAGTAATAATATTAAAATAATTTTTTAAAAAAAATTTAGCCAATATAATGCTATCAATTAAATGAGAATTTTATCATTTATCTTTTAGTTTAATATTGATTTAGTAAATATAAGTCGGAGTAAAAAAAAAAATTTTCTTCATTGTTTTGACTTCTAAAACTTTTCGTTTTCAAAGTTTACAGTGCAGAGATTACTTCCGCTTTGTATATTCACAATGAACTAAAAAAAATTGTCCACTTGTTTGGTTTAAGAGCAATCCCTACAAATTGGAGAGATTAGAAGCACCAAATACTTTGGATGATTGGCAAACAACATGAGATGGGTCATATTAGGGCAGAAATTTATTTTTGCGGGGCAGAATTCTAAAATTACCCCTATTATATATATATATTTAGGGCGGGCTTTACCTAAGTGGGGATCCGCCCGTGGTACCTAATCATAAGGACCTGTGAGTGTGAATTTATAAATAATTTTCATTAAATGTGTATATTTTTTTATTTCATGAACAAATCTAGAAGCAAAGCATACAACTCTACAAAATGGCAGGTAAACAACTAATCCTAGAAGTAAGAGAAATAATATTCTCACACTATTGAGGTTTTGTATAGATGTGGATTTACAATAATACATGTAAAATTAGTGTTGCTTAGTACTCACCAGGAATAAAACTGATAGTGAAGAGACCTAGCACAAATTATTCCAATGAAATTCCCAACAAACATAACAGCTACGATATCTGCAAACACATTCAAGTAAAATGATTTTTCACTTCTGAAACAATCATTAAAACTACTTGATGAAAATAATGCAATCGAGAAAGTGAAGTTAGAAACTATAAAGCTGTAAAAAGCTGGTAACTTACGGTCTTTACGAAGGACATGGATTATTGATTCACAATGAAGAAATTGTTGGATGTGAATAAGTTTATTTATAGCATTAAGCACCCTTGAACGCAAAAGATTGAAGAGTCCTCCTTCATACCTGTCAATTTCCTACAGCATTAGCACATACAATATCGTTCACGTAGGAGAAGAATGATCGAGATCAAGTATTCTTCAATCATTAGACTGAATAAATTTTTTTCCTAATGTTAAGTGGAGCAAGATACCAATCAATCCATACAATCTGCACATTTCATTAAAATTGCATCCTCCGTTGTCTTCCCATTTCATGTCAAATGCTTAAGTTCAAAATATTTTAGCATTCTATTTATTTCATTTTTTTTTCTTTTTGTGTTTAGAAAAAAGAGGGGTTGTTTTTCCACTAGTTCAGATATTGCAATCATTTTCAAGTCAAATGATTTTATCTTTAATGTGGCTCATGTTCTGCATTCAACATCTATGTGGCATGCAAGTATCAGACTGTTTTGAGCATGGCATACCTTCTTGAACATTAGAACTAGTAATGTTCTAAAATTCATATTAATCGTTCAAAAGCAGGGCTTCTAATAGGGTTAATATTTCAAAGTTCTTGACAGCATGGTGGTAACGCAGGACTTCTAATAGGGGGTTTGCAAATGAACCCAAAATTCAACAAGCACCCCGATTATAGTTTGTTCATTATCGTTTGATTAACAAATTGAACAAAGTTCAACACTTACATAAATATTCGGTTGATAAATGAACAAGTTTGAATAGCATGTCGTCAGATCGTTTATGACATAAATAATATCGTTTAAAGCTCGCAAAATAAACTCATTATAAAACATGATTAAAACTCAATATAAAGCTCAATTAAGGTTTGATATAATGATGCAGTGCACGATAGTTATCTTGAGGAGCGGGACATCTAATGCTTCCTCAACGGTTTTCTGACAACCACTTACTATCTACTTTTTCTTACACGTGCCTTAGTTTTTATTTTTCCTAGTATTTTCTGATCTGTTAATGATGGCCTTTTGAGCTTTCTAGAAGCGGCCTTTATAGGGAGATTGGCTGAGGAAGAAGACGGCTAATCATTTTGATACTCCTCATTTTACTATAGCAACAGAAATATCCCCCTGAATATACAGGGCCCTTCAATCTGGTACTGTGTTCTTTGCATACCCTGTTTTTATTTCTT